TAGAGTATTACTTATTAAATAGTTATGGAAATTAAGTTCACTAAAGTAGTTAAGAAATTTTAAGTATTGTCACTGCTAAAAATATTCTTAAAAATATATATCAAAACACATATAATGTCTCTATCCTTCTTCACACTTAACAGTTTATTTTGCCGTCTAAAACATTATATATAATGGCAAACGAAGTTAGTTGCTCCGACCTTGAAAATGTCAATATTCGACTCATAATGGTAAATATAAAACTAGGAAATGTTACCTCCGACATGTTAAGGCCAGAAGTATAGAAAATGTCACCTCCAACCAACAAATGTCAATGTACAAACAGCAAAAAAAGGTAAACAATATCTGTAGATAGAACAGCTAATATGACCAACTTTCAGAATAGTACAAAATACTTAATAATATTATGTTGCTTGTTCTTCACGCTATTATAAAACATATTTCCTCGCACACTCCTCACATTGTTATGTCCTTCAAACCCATGACCTATCAATGAAAACATATTTGTTACTAGATATTTCACAAGCATTAAATTTGAATAGAACAAATGTATAAAAGAAAGTATATGAAAATAAACCCATTTTTACACTTTGATTTAATCAATATTACAAATTTACTTTATTAAATTTATATTCCATCTACAAAGGAAATTAATAATAAACATTTACAATTTGCAAATAAATGAATATTTAACATACCCTGTTATCTAGGTAGACAGTCACTGTTTAATCTAGCTTGTCATAAAAGATAAACACTAAATCATTATATTTAATTAATTGATTCTGCCAAGCTCTAACATCATTATTCTTCCTAAAACTGAGTGTAAACCTCTATGAACTACTTTCAGAATAGAACAAAATACTTAATGATATTAAGCGTGTTCTTCACGCTATTATAAAACATATTTCCTCGCACACTCCTCATATTGTTATGTCCTTCAAACCCATGACCTATCAATGAAAACATATTTGTAACTAGATATTTCACAAGCATTAAATTTGAGAAGAACAAATGTATAAAATAAAGTATATGAAAATAAACCAATTTTTACACTTTGATTTAATCAATATTACAAATTTACTTTATTAAATTTATATTCCATCTACAAAGGAAATTAATAATAAACATTTACAATTTGCAAATAAATGAATATTTAACATACCCTGTTATCTAGGTAGACAGTCACTGTTTAATCTAGCTTGTCATAAAAGATAAACACTATATCATTATATTTAATTAATTGATTCTGCCAAGCTCTAACATCATTATTCTTCATAAAACTGAGTGTAAACCTCTATGAACTACTTTTTATAACACATTGGCAAGGTTACAAATACAGGTAAGTTATCACTCAGGTATGAATATCTGGAAGAAAATGATTCATTAGAAACATTAAAAACAGCAAAATTAGATGAAAATTGCAGACCCGGTTTGATTGAGTCTGTACATGAGGGATAATTGAAAAGTGCAACATTCCTCACGCCCCTTAGCAACGGCTCAATTTTCAACACTTAAAAGTCCTAGACTAAATGATCACAAAGGACCAGAAAAATATAACGACAACGAAGTGAAGAATGGGTCAACTTTTTACGGATGCTACATAGCATTTGACACGTGATGTTGTGATCTATAAATATTTGGAAGAAAGTGGTCCATTGCAAACATTAAATATCTACTAAAAAAGTGATCACTCGGAAGCATTAAAAACAACAAAATTATATGAAAATACCAGACTCGGTTTGATTCAGTCTGTACATGAGGGATAAAGAAAAAGTGAAACATCCCTCACGCCTCCTTGAGCGATACTCAATTGTCAATGCTTAAAAGTCTTCGACTCAATGATTCCAAAGGACCAGAAAGGTATAACAACACTGAAGGCAAGTACTTACACTGGTCAGTATTATATCTGTCTATCTCTAGAAACAGGTTTATAAGAAATTATGTGTAAACAAAATAGATAGAATATAATTGATTTTGTGACAGTTGTCTCATATCAAGCATGGCTGAACTATGTTGAATATTTCGGTCGTTTCGGCGTTGTTAACGTGTCATTTCAAATTCTATATAGGCTGAAATATTGGGATATGGTAATATAGAAGTGACTGAACAAGTCCAAATAAAAATTCGTACACGTAACCATAGATTACCAATAACAACCAGAAATTTGACCCGAATGCCAATTAATAAAAAAACAAACAACTTCTTGTAACAATAAAATAGGTGATGAATTTCATTACTCATTGGAATGTGCTTTGCTTAAAGATATACTATTCTCAAATTTGATATTCGAAAATATTGATAATTGCTACACAGACTCTTTGTAAACATAAAATAAAAATGTTTCGATTTATACAAAGTAGATAAATTATGTTTAAAATTCTACAGACTATAGGTGGTCACAATATGAATGATAGTGTCATTTAAAAAAAATGGCAGTTCTTTTTAAGAAAAGACCAATTTCACCTGACCCGTATCAGGGAATGCAGCTTCCCATACACATTTTATTCAAGTTAGACATATTCAGTTAGAATTTCATAGATTTCAACCATTTCTATGATTAAATTGTTTCACTAAAAGATGAGCATAGTATATCTTTAATTACGAAAGAAAGAACTTTTGAACCTTTTTATTACAGACCCGAAATACATTTAAGCTAGAACAACTAATTAATACGGAAAACAAGAGCGAATATTTGAAATTACGCTTATTGGTAAAAACAATAATTTTTAAGATAATTGAATAAGTATTTACTTCCAATTTGATATTTTACATTCCAAGACTTACTTACATTCCGATACTGTTAAACGAATATTTCATTGATTATTTTATGATAAATAATTAGTACCCACAGCAAAGTGTGTGTTTGTTATCATTTTTGCCTAATAGTATGACAATTTTCATTTAACTTATTAGTATGAGTCTAGAAATGTCATTGTAAAGGTTGAAATATTATGTACTAATTGTACATTGCTTGTCAGTTGTTTATATTTTTTTTTTTTTTATGCCCCCGCCATGTAATGGCCGGGGCATATAGTGTTACCCTGTTCCGTCCTTCCGTCCTTCCGTCATTCCGTCATTCCGTCCTTCCGTCCTTCCGTCATTCCGTCATTCTGTCATTCCGTCATCATCAGTTTCCGTTCATTATCTTAGTAACGGTTGCACACATTCAACTCAAATTTGACATATGGATATGTCATGAGAAAATACAGGTCAAGTTCGAATTTGGTCATGGTTCGATGATTTTTGGCAGAGTTATGCCCCTTTTACTTTAAAATAATATGAAATTTCAGTTTCCGTTCATTATCTCCCCAACGATACAACACATTCAACTCAAACTTGACATATGGATATGTCATGAGAAAATGCAGGTCAAGTTAAAATTTGGTCATGGTTCGATGATTTTTGGCAGAGTTATGCCCCTTTTTACTGTGAAAAATAATATGAAATTTTCAGTTTCCGTACATTATCTCCCAAAGGTACAACACATTCAATCAAATTTGACAGATGGATATGTCTTGAGAAAATACAGGTCAAGTTCGAATTTGGTCATGGTTCGATGATTTTTGGCAGAGTTATGTCCCTTTCACTTTGAAAATAATATGAAATTTTCAGTTTCCATTTATTATCTCCCCAACGGTACAACACATTCAACTCAAACTTGACATATGGATACATCAAAGGAATGCGCAGGTCAAGTTCAAATTTGGTCATGGTTCAATGATTTTTGGCAGAGTTATGCCCCTTTCACTTTGAAAATAATATGAAATTTTCAGTTTCTGTTTATTATCTCCCCAACGGTACAACACATTCAACTCAAATTAGACATATGGATATGTTTTTGGAATGCCCAGGCCAAGTTCGAATTTGGTCATGGTTCAATGATTTTTGGCAGAGTAACACTGCGAAAATTATACTGATATACGGGAATATACGGTCCCGTATTTTTGACAAATACGGGCGTGTACGGGATGTATTCGTCGAATATACGGACCAAGTATAGTCCGTATAGGGAACACCGGGTATACGGGAAGTCCGTATATGCACCAGGCATATACGGAATTCCGTATTTGCCCCATATACATGTACGTATATTTGTTCGTACTTTTGAAGTATACGGAGAATAAAATCCCGTATACGGACTATTTCAAGGTTGTTATCCCTAGTATACTATAAATATACCAAGGATATACGGGACCGTATTTTCTACATATACAGAGGATATACGGACTCGTATTTTCTACGTATACAGAGGATATACGGAACCGTATATTCTACATATACAGAGGATATACGGACTCGTATTTTCCACATATACAGATGATATACGGAATCGTATTTTTTACATATACAGAAGATATACGGAATCGTATTTTCTACATATACAGGGGATATACGGAATCGTATTTTCAATATATACAGGGGATATACGGAATTGCATTTTTTAGTTGTCCACAGGGAATACAGAACTGTATTTTCTTGATAAAAGAAGATACAGATAATATCAAAAGCATGCATTTACATATAAGTGACACGTATACATGACCGAAATGCAGACTTGTACAATAGAACATGTTTTATTACACATTTTGAATGGGAACTGTAAAGTCATATGCTTAAGAACTTTATCTTCACAATTGGAGTATTTCAAATAATAAAGTAAAAACCAAATCGAGTCACTCTTAAATATTTATTATTTCATAAACATATATTCAATATGTATACATATATTAAACAAAATAAACATGTCTTCGCTACAAAAGTCATATTTTGTTGCAAGCCTTATTCCAGAGGGACAAATTAATGTAGCGTTGCAACGGAACGGCGATATACCGGTATGTTGCGATACAGAGTCATGAAATACGTATCACAGTGGAGAAAATCCGCACTGCGACATTTTCTTTAGAGATCGAATTATACATGTACATTTTTCGATATTTTCAAGCCGTAACCTTTATGAATTGCATGTTGTTTAAATCTAGAACAAACTATACCAACTTGAAGTTCGATTCTATTTATCTTAACAATGATTTTTATGAGCCACTTGTATTACACCCATAAAACATTTTAAAGATATTCATATCATTTGTGTTAACATTCACATATTATTTTAGGAAAATGAGTCCATAGCACAAATTGATTATTACAGAAAGTTTTAATAATAATCATTAAAACTAAAAATCCGTATTCACAGAAATTCGTCATACAAACACAGTTCTTAAAAGCACTTAAATATATCAATCATCTATAGGAATGTTACGTAGACCAGTGTGACGGTGTCTATTTCGTGACGTAGGAAATGTTATCTCCAGATATTACAATCTTCTTCGGCATGTGTGTATCTGAAAAAGAGAGTTTAAAATCCTGTTTAAATAGTGTCATGAAATAGTTATCACAACTTTCAAAAAGACTATACACAAGCATTTTATGAGCGTATACATATATACATTTTTTTTCTAACGCAAATTTCAAAATTATTTTATATTATTGAGGATAAAGATGTCATTTTAAGCAACCATTTACACAGGATTTAAATGAAATGATTAATCTATGACGGATGATAAGTTATATGTTTTTATTATAAAACCTTTACGAATATATTTATTTCACACCTGTAATATAAATGATAATGGTATCTTACTTCTATGTAAAGAGTGTTTTATTGATTAAAAATATATTAATACAAAATAACATTGTATTGGGAAAAAGTGCTGACATAATCTTTTTGATCGTTTTACGATGTATATTAGCATCGTTAGTAGGAGTCAATTCGTTTGAAAAAGGGCTTTAAAAGTACAGATATTTGCTACTCAGATGTAGATCCGTGTTTGCACAATGATATCCAGTTAAGTAAAAGGCGGAATACCCAGCTATACTTCTCATTTATATAAAACGTTAAACATAACAAATTTGGATTATTGTTTGTTTCAATTTCAATTGTTTCAAAAACTATCTCAGCAACGAATGAATACCTTCAATATACTATAGTGAAGATTAATGTTTTTTATTGTTAAGACTGTTTAACTAGGTAAGTTGAATATAGAATCTCTTACAGTGTGTCATCTCTAAAAATAAAGTGATTATTCTCACAAAATATAAATCAAAATATCCTTTCTTGCCTATAGCATTAATCTGATAGTATGAAATCAAATTCAGATAATAAAATATACGTATCATATGTGACAATTGCATAAAATAACATAGGAGGTATTTTAGTTAATACATGCGAATGCGACTATTACGTGCGCACGTGAAACATTTACGTATCAACGCAATATGTTTCACGTGCGCACAAGTACTGTGCGTTTAGTATGATAATTAAGTGACGATGTGGTCAAGTCCACTATCCAGGTGTAAAACAGCTATCATATTGTGTTTATTATCTTCAAACAGGCTAGCTATATAAATTAAATTATCAACAAATTAACCAACTCTCAGCGTAATGCAGTAGGTAAGGTTGTGGTAAATATCAATGCAAGACAGCTAGGCTCGGATTGCACCTTTTTCCCAAAAATATTGCTTTATAATTATCAATCAGGTAAGAAAGTTTTGTGTCATTTATTGTAAAGATTATAAATGCTGTGATATTTTCTATTAACTTCTCATTTTGTTTTAAATGTAGCTATATTTAGCCCTATTTAGCAAGTTGGTGCAAACTTATACGGAATGCATGATACTGTACACAGACTGTTTCAACTATAGTTAAGTTTGCACGAAATACTATTGCACTGCAAAAGTACTATGACTACTACATACTACACACTATACAGGATAAAAATCACTATCATCCGTGCATGTATATCTAAATTTTCAAATATCATAACAAAACTGCCTTTCTATCCCAATTCATTTTTCTAATGTAAAATTAAAAATACAACTTGTGAGGCTCGAACTTGTGATAAAATTTAATGTGTATGACATTCTAATGACTTTACTAACTTTGCCATCAAGACATTTCAATCTTACATTATATTCGCTTTGAAAACCCTGTTTTACCTATTGAGATAAATGTTGTTAACTTTAGTGTACATGTACAAAAGAAAATGTAACGTCACTCTCACATTATCAAAGCGGCTTACGCACGTAGTAACTAAAAAAATTACTATCATTAACATATATAAAAGTGATTAAACTGTAAAGAAATACATATTTTTGATACAGTAATATGTTTAAGAAAAGAAAACTAATTTAATAAAATAAAGTCGCATGCACAGTGCATCTATATCAAACCATTGTGTGTGTTCGAGTTAATTCTTATATTTTATATATTTGATTTTTGCATATTAAAAGCAAGTATGTTTTAGCATTTTCAAATGCGCGGCAAAATGCTTATATCATATATGCCTTAATTGACACCATTTTATGAAGTGTGACATCATTCCGCCTAAGAATTGATTCTAACAAGATATAAAAGAGAACCAATGTATTTATAACTAACCACATTAATTCAAAATAAATGCGTGTAAATAAGGAAATTTGACTTTGCCTTGAGAAAGAATAAAACACATGACGTCAGTACAGAGTGGAATATATGAGTCTGGGTAACTCTTCTTTACAGACAGTACGTCCGTGTATTCACAAAACACAACAATGTATATACATGATCTTACATCTATATTACTTGCTACCATACTTTGCTTCATCTATAATTGCTGTAAAGAGGGCACAGCTGCATTTCTAGAAGATTTAAACACGCTGTACACTGTCCTGAAAAATCATAATATAACTTCAGCATAAAATGATAAAGAGCACATTGAAAATATTTCATAAGTGATCACATGTGCGAAAGTGTTAATACTGTAGGAACGTGTTCACTTTTATGTGCATGTGTAGTTATGTATTTTTGTGTGTTCGTGCGTGCGTGCGTGTGTTACCATATTGCTTTATGTGAAATATAAGTCAATATATGGAATGTCGAAAAATGTGTGATGTACAAAGACTCAATATAGTTTTTCAAGCATTTGAATTTTGTATAATGAAATATTAAATAACTGTTACCTCAAACAGGCGCGTGTTTGTGACTGACCCGTGGCGTAATGTTTATCTTAAAAACTAAACAAAGAGTTTTAATTATAATAAGAAAAAAATATTTAAATTTTAATTTGTCCAATAAAAAATCCAATGTAAATGTTGAAAACTCAGTTCATGTATATATACAATTTAAAATCTGGGTAATCCTGAATAACGTAGATAAATAACCAAAAATATCGAATGAAAACCAAGAGTTGTCTGTCCTGAAATGCGAGTAAACTCGATCTTGCTAATTACTATTAATGCTAAAACAATACAAACAAAACCGTTTTAAAACTTCTGGTTCGTTGCGATATTTTATATTCACGAGTTTTAAAATTCTTACACCGACAACAGGCTCCTGATCTAAGCTTCGTATCAATGTAAAAATAAACATATGAGCCGCGTCAAGAAAAAACCAACATAATGGGTTTGCGACCAGCATGGATCCAGACCAGCCTGCACATCCGCGCAGTCTGATCAGGATCCATGCTGTTCGCTTACAAACTCTAAAACAAGTAGAGAAACCGATAGCGAACAGCATGGATCCTGATCAGACTGCGCGGATGCGCAGGCTGATCTGGATCCATGCTGGTCGCAAACCCATTATGTTGGTTTTGTCGTGACGCGACTCAATTATCTTTTGACACCAAGGGTAGTGAATTAACAGTTAACTGTTAAACTTAACACATGTCGGCAATATTACATGCAATCATACAGATATGTATCTGTCATTCTTTGTATTAATGTAAATAAAAAATTCTGACAATTATTTTCATTTTATTTATTCATCTTAATGTATAATGATTTAAATAAAAAAGAAATATTTGTTTCCTATTTTTGTTTAAGATTTGTATTCATTTAAGAATAGGTTTATATAAATAAGAAATATATAACAACATGTGCACAGAAACTTAAAAAAAGTGTATAAAATTGAAAATAGCAAAGTCTTTAAATTGACTTATGTTTGCATCAAATAATGGGGATTTGTATAAAAATAAAAACTGCGAATATAATACAAGTATTCTGCTAGTTAAAGTATCAAGACTGAGAAACAATTTTATCTAAAAATTTATAAACCTATTTTTTAGAAATACTAAGCAATTTTCTTTTAAAATATGTTTATCTGTTAAATCTGATAATTTTTGTTATTATACTGAATAGATAAAACATAACCTATTTTTCGGCTATAAATTTCATAAATTACTATTAAAATAAATAGAATTTGAGTGTCTCTTTTTGATATGATCTTTCCCTGATGTTAAGTGATAATTGAGATAGCTCAAGATTATATTAAAGTCCAATCAGTTGACCAATCAAGCATACATAGGTCGTGTCACACACACTGATTAATCCCTTTGCACTACCATGTCCAGGGGCTGTAATACCTTGACATCTTCGATGTTTAAATGTCGTAATTTTTAACTCGGTGTCTTTTTACCCGGAAGGGAAGTTATGATTAACGCATTTAACAAATGCCCTTTTCATTTTTTTGTTTTTGCATTTTTCATACAAATTATTAATTAAACAAGACACAGTTTAGAAATCAAAATCAAACTCGTAACCTCCCAGTCTAAATCTGGGATGTACTATAACTATGTTCCAGTCTAAATTTAGGGATACATCCCTTTTTTTAGGGATACATCCCTGCTTTAATTATCTAATCCGGCGGCCATATTGGATAGCGAAACAGATTAAACAGTACGTGTTAAAGTTTTCTAAAAACAAATCTGTTTAACCCTGAAATAAGCTGTTGTTCACAAAATGCAACTATTCTATTGATCGCATATTGATATTGCAACGATAAAAAATAACTTTTAACCTACCTTGTTTTGCAATATTCTGAATTTTATTAACTATCCATTTCCAATCCCGTTTTTTCTTTTTTCATTTCGCCCGCGCTATTTCTGATTGGTTGATAGGATTCACGTGATACAAAACCAACGCTTTAAACTCATTGGCTGTTTTGAAAACGCGTGATATGCCTAGATACCGTTTGTGTAATAAAGCATTTAGCATTAATAATGCCACGGATTTATAATGCGGAAGAAACCAGCATACTAAGACCTTTATTCGATCCAAAATAATGCAATATTAAATTGGAAATATCATGTATCCATAAACGATAACTTTGCATACATGTATAACATAACCATTGATACTTTTTCATAGGCAAAACTTTGATTCTAATGCTCAATCGGTTATTTTTTTTTTTGATAATAATTATTATAATAATATTAATAATAAATGATAATAATAAAACTGATGATGATGATGATGATGATGATGATGATGATGATAATAATAATAATAATAATAATAATAATAATAATAATAATAATAATAATAATATAATGATGATGATGATGATGATGATGATGATGATGATAATAATAATACATGTAATAATAACAATATTTATGATAATAATAAAAGACGTTTTAGAAGCGCTAAGAAATATGTATAAATAACACAAATTTTTGTTACAACTACAATAAGCGGGTAAAACAAAAGCCCCCCATTAAATTAACACAATAGGACAAAAGCCAAAAGCCAATACACCCCCCCCCCTAAGGTTCATAGACAGACTGATTACTATCTTTTTTACACGTCAGTGTTCGGGAACTTGGGTTATACTTCAAATAAATCTAGACAAGTATGCGCCTTTCACTTTTATTTCCTTGATAAACTTTGAAAAGCGATTCTCTGAAAATATTCATTTACATTTGTACTGCACAATATATAATAAAGTAAACATAAAAACATTCATATCATCAATGAATTATAAGTACGAATTACACAATAAATCAAATTAGAACTTTTGTACCTTTAAATTTAAATCTTAATGTAAATTATCTTTTAAAACAATTGCATTTATTTGTTAAAATACATCAAGTTCCAGATTTAAACTGACGAGATTCTCAATAACAATTGTTTGATGGACTTGGGGGGGGGGGTCTTTCGTCCTTCGTCCGGGGGGGGGGTCTTTTGTCCGTATCCCCATTAAAATAAATAAATTACTTACTTACTTACTTATACACATAAATGAAGTATAAAGATCCTTTCACATTATCTGCGGATTTCATAATTAAAATAAAACTTTATTAGTATAAGAATATTTGGAGTATCGGTAAAAATTCAAAAGTCCAATTTAAAAAGTGATTTTACTATCAATAAATAATTTAGTATGTTCTTAACTTGAGTTTTTAAATCAAACTACGACAATTTTTATTTTTTAAACAGAAATTTACTTTTACAAATACATAATTTTATTTTAACCAGTTAACAAATGTTAATTTACATAGCACGGTCATGTTCCCCTGTCCTGAACAATGTTCAAGTCACCGAATTATGCAGAAACACGGCTGATGGGAGACGAGGGAACTCGGGAGATGATGATGATATTTTTCAAGAAATGCTATTTCGAATAATTTGACATCATCTATCAACAATTCATGTACATACACCCCAGTGACATCCATCTGATTCTAGCTTGTTAATTTAGATATCGGCAGGGTACTTCAAAGTTTACTTTAAGATAAATCTTAATTGTGTCTTGTTTAAATGACGAATTCCGCCAAATTAAAGGATAACAACAACACGACGCTGCATAAAAATTGGAAAGAATACAGCAGATATGTCTGTTTCATTTTAATATTACGGGTTAGAGTCTTTATAATATCTGGAACAAAATCACATAGAGACTCGGTTATGAGATCACAATTTAATTCCCTTATTTCGTACATGAATTATATTAGAAATTGACAGTAAAAAATACCGTTAAGACATTCAACACCAATTGCGCTAACTTACCTAATCGGAGAAAACCGACACTCGATATACCCTGCTGCGTTTATGATCAATATCCGGATCAATATCCGGCTTAATCAGTATTGTCTTCGATTATGGCAATACAGCACGTGGCTATTACACAATATTATGTCATAAATGAGACCGCGCGAAAAGAATCAAAATTGGGGAATTCGGAACTTCATAAGATTTCTATTCAAAACTTGTGTACAGAAATGCAAATCTTTGTTTCCTGAAAAAAAAAGATTAAATAAATAAATAAATAAATAAGAAATATATGAATAAATGAGTAATGAATGTATGAATAAATGAATGGATGATTGGTTGATTAAATAAATAAATAAATAAATAAAAAATAATAAATAAGAAATATATGAATAAAAGAGTAATGAATGAATGAATGAATGTATGAATAAATAATGAATGATTGGTTGATTGATTCAATGAATCAATGAATGAATGAATGAATGAATGAATGAATGAATGAATGAATGAATGAGATATCATTGTTGTTTTTTTTACATATGCAAGTACATGTATTATATTATGTATAGCCTATTTCTATAGGATATATATCAACGTAAAATTTAAATGCGGTGTGGACAATCCCGATTTCATCTTCGTGATTTCACAATTATTTTAACTTTCACGATTTTAACTTCACAGATTCACGATTTTATTATAATTAATTCATGTTTTGAACATCACAATTTCAACTTTATCATTTTCTCATGTTTGACTTATCATTATAAAATATTATAATGATAATGAAAAGGAAATTACAAAATAACATGATTCACCATAGATGCAAAATGCAAAACAGTACTATCTAATTGTCAATCGCAATTGTAAAGTATTCGCTATTTATCTGCGGTTGTATGCTAAAAAGCAAACCAAGCGGTATTGAGCTAGAATAGCGCGTCTGCATGTTACAGGTGGATGTCTTACACGTTCTGTGCACTGACGATATTATTTGTACGCAATTGACGCGTTAATAACTCCAGGAAATTTTGCATTGTGTTAATTGTCAAATGTCTGACAAATATATGATCAGACTATTTCTTTACTCTTACAAGAAAATAGGCTATTTAGAAGTAAACTTTCATTCGCTATTTCTATATACAGAATCCGTATTTGCACGAATACGGAATTTCGTATTTTAGTAATATACGGACTTGTTATAAAAATTCCGTATATTAGTAAAATACGGACTTCGTACATCAAAGTTCCCGTATATTACGAGTGTACGGAGTTCGTATACTAGTCATATACGGACTGATATAATATACGGTCCCGTACATCTCCGTATTTCAAGTTTCCCGTATTCTTACACGTATATCAATGATATACGGAATTCCGTACACTTCCGTATATCCATGTCTTTTTCGCAGTGTAATGCCCCTTTTACTTTGAAAATAATATGAAATTTACAGTTTCTGTTCATTATCTACCCAACAGTGTTACATATTCAACTCAAATTTGACATATGGATATGTCAAAGGAATGGGAAGGTCAAGTTGGAATTTGGTCATGGTTTGATGATTTTTTGGCAGAGTTATGTCCCTTTCACTTTGAAACTAATATAGATACATCTTAGGAATAAGCAGTTTAAGCTTGAATTTGGTCGTGGTTCAATGATTTTGGACAAACTTATCTTTCTTGAATGTTGGAAAAATTTTGAACTTTCAGTTTCAGCACTCATACTTTTGTGGAAAGTTTGAATTTGGTCGTGGGGGGGCATCCGTGGCATGATGACACATTTCTAGTTTTTCTTTTATTGTAATCATTCTCATCCTTTTGTTAAGATATAAATAACGTACTCTCCAAGTTTACTGTGGAAAAACCTATTTACTACTTACAATTTCTAGTTTTAATTTAAAGTTAATTGAACTGTAGGGATTCTCGGGGAAATTAATGACAAAAATATTAAAATGAAATATGTACTCAAATCACGCTTAAAGACATTTTTCAAAGTCCCTGCATCAATTTCTGTAAAAATTTGATATATTTTAGGTTTGAAGAGTAAATTTATCTGTTTATGTTGAACGAAATTTAGAAGCCGATAGAAACACCGAGCAGTTTTTAAACAAGTCATTTTACTTAAACAAACCCTCGAAGTTACAATGACATATATTGTGAATATTGTATGATTAAATTAATCTAAGTCATTCAATTGGCATGTTCTTTTACGTTTCCTGAGTTTACTGTGACAGCTATTGTGGAATCTTAACGCACTAACCTTACTCACTTGGGTCAAGTTGGGTTGTTCTTTTTAAGGAGAACATTTTTGTTCCTGTGACTGCCTAGTGTATTTTTTTTGGGGGACATATACATAAATATGAATGAAAAATTCAAAACGGAGAAATAATACATTTGCTCGTGTCTCCCAATATGAACCAATACTCTTTTTACGAATTGTTTTACCACTCAAAATTATATATACATTGTATATGTTCAAATAGCCTCTACTCTACATTGTATTATTTACTCACCACATTTTTCATGTTAGCATAAAAAGTGTGTAATAAGAAAAAATTGGCTTGACTTGACTTGATTTTTAGTTGCAAGTTTGAGAAAAAGGTATGGTATTTACTCACGAGTGATTTGGAAAAGAAATTATAGTCGTCTACAAATGCGCGCATGTCTATGAAAATATATAAAAATATATCCAAAATGTAAAGTTTCAAACAATACGAATAAAAATAGCTGGGGAAATGAATGAAGCTACGCCTTTTCCAATTGACATTGCAATTGTTTATTTAAAAAATAATAAAAATTAAAGAGAAATATCAATCGGTTTCCGTTTAAGGGATCTTCAAATTATCGATATTTAAATTTCAATGTTCACACAAGCCCAATAACAGGGAAAAAATTACTTGACCAGCCTGCCAACCTACATTGGAACTGGTGCATTGTCGTGCAGGAGCAGAACGCCTTAAGTCAGTTTGCCCCTCCTTTACGCGCCATTTCTTGACACAGAACCAATTGAACCTCGGTCAGTTATCTTCAATGAGATATCGGTATCGTGTGTAAATGTCAGTGTAATGGCTAGAAGTATATCAGGCCGAGAACCTTTTCTATCATACCTCGTAGAGTCCTCATCAGATACTTAACTATTCCTCGATTGTGAATTTTATTGAATTAGGTTCTTTTTTCTTAAATCCTTTTCTTTAGTTTTATGAAAACTGTAATCTTTTCATAGAACTTCCTCGATCTTTTATTTGTTAAGTTTAATTAAGTGGCGAATTAAATGTATGTTGTCGTGTTGGATTTCATGTAAACTGGCAGTTCTAACTATAACTGTGTATCTCAAAACTTTCGACTAGTCACACCACACAAAATAAATCAAAATGTGTAAGACTTAATACACATTTTAAACATTATTTTATAAAATGATGATTTTATTTTTTTAGTTATGTATG